GACCCAAAAGAGACCTAAAAATATGGATATTTTGCAGTTACCAATGAAAAAGATATTCACTATTTTATCACCTTTCAGCCAAGGCCTCCAGTTAACACACCCTGTCCACTTACATGAAGCTTCGAAATCTTTGAATCTCATTCTTAAGAACAAATCCTTTAAAAAGGAAGTAAATTCTGACATATGCTACAATATGGGTGAACCATAAAGACATCTTCATGAAGATTTAAGAACCTTGAAAAAATAAGCCAGGCTCAAAAGGTCAAACATTGTATGGTTTCTCTTATATGAGGTTCCTAAAGTAGTCAAAATTCACAAAGACAGAAGGTAGAATGGTGGCCACCAGGGGCTGGGGGGAAAGGAAATGGGAGGTTATTGTTTAATGGGTACAGAATTTCAATCAGGTAATATGAAAAAGTTCTGGAGATGAATGACAGTGATGGGTTGCACAAAAATGTAAATGTACTTAATACTTGAGAACTGTACACTTAAAAATGGTTAAAATGATACATTTTGTTGTGCATATTTACAATTAAAAAAATAAAAGAACAAACCACAAGACATTTAAAGAAAGCCATCAATGTTAAAGAAGACCAAAACAAACAAAAGAACTTAGGAGTAAATAAAAGAATTCAAGGAAAACTTCACAGTCACATTAAAAAACATTAATATCCTCAGAAATATAAAAGAAAATACTGCATCTATGAAACAGAAACAAAATCTATAATAAAGTAACATTAAAGAACAAGAACCCTTAGAATATTATGGTTTTTTTTAAAAAAAAACCTCAATTGACAAGCTGGCAGATAAAGTTAAGGAAATCTCCCAAGAAGTAGAAAAGTAATTAAAAAATAGGAGAAAAGAGAATTAGAGGATAAACCCAAAAGATCCAACACTGAAATAACTAGAAGTTCCAGAAAGCAGGAAAAAAAAAAAAAAGGGCATTTTCAAAAATGAAGGACATACATTTCCTGAATGCAAGTGCCCACACAGTATGGCCACACAATGAATGAAAAAGACCCACATCAAGGCAAGTCCCTGTGGAATTTCACACCAGGACAAAGACAAGGTCTTAAAATTTATCATAAGGGGGTTGGGAGGAAACAGGTCACAAGGAACTAAGGCCTGAAATGTCTTTGATTCCTCAACAACAACACTGGAAACTAAGGACACTAGAGAAAAACCTTCAAATTCTGAGGGAAAATGATTTTCAACCTAGAATTCTACACCTGCCAAATTATCAATTACGTACATATGAGGGTAGAACTAATATATTCATTTATACAAAGTCTGAAACAACTTATTTCTTGACACACTTTCTTAAGGAAGCTCCTGAACGATGTGCTCTACCAAAATGAAGAAATAAACCTAGAAAAGGAGATGGTATAGGATTCAGGAAAATGGAGGCCAACACAGGAGAGAAGCAAAAACAATCTCCAGGATAACAGTGACAGGAAGTACCAGGATGACAGTTAAAAACAATAGTTGGTACTCTAGCAAGAGAACAAAGGGCGATTCAGAGGGTATTTTGAAAGAAAAAAAAATGGAAATGATAGATTATTTAATGTTTAACCATACTGAGTGTTATAGTTCTGTAAAAGAATATGGGGATAAAACTGTCATAAGTACATAAGAAAATTAGGCAAATTTTTAAAAACTAAGGCAATAATTCCAAAAAATTATATAACAAAGGAAATGCAATCATATGCTAACAGCTTGTCTGTGAACACTATATATAGTCATAATAATGTAAATACTAAAAGATAATTTAAAAAACAATTATAATTATATAGATATATTTGGAAAATGGGTAAAGGGAAAGTGTGTATGACATAAGAGAACTAAATCTCCATTTTCCTTAGAAGGAATAAGTAATATCAAAAAGTGAAAATATTTAAAATAGTAGTATAAGCATATTATGAAAAATACAAAGGTAAAAACCAGAAAAAAGAAGCTGAAAGAGTTAAGTGTTGCCTCTGTAGATTAGAAATTGGGAGTTGGAGAGGATAGAGCAGGGATCTGTTATTTTTTTTTCCCACTATAAACCCTGAAGTACCTTTTCACTTTTTAAACTATGAGCTTTTATTGCTTTGATGAAACTAAAAACTAAATTAAATGAACGTTTATTCTGGTTCTGCCACTTAAACTAGATTTGGTAAGTTATCTTACCTCTCTAAGCCTTATGATCAACAATAATGTTAAAACTAACTTGTGTAGGCTAGCAAGAGTTGTTGCGTTTTCAGGAATTCTGCAAGCCACTGTTATACAGAGTCAATATTAAAAATTAAATCATATAAACACACAAAGAAATTATATTAATTTTACTAATTTTATTTTATTATCTATGCCTTTAAAGTAATTTATATCTACTGTATTTGTATAATAGAAATACTTTGTGCTACTGCACATCTCTTTCAAACTCTGCATTCAGTTTATCTCATTGGTAGCATGAAGTCAGCCACAGTGGGATTATTTACACTTTAGAAATCAGCAAACTACAAATCAGAGTTTGATTTATAGTTGTACTGATTACCTAGAGGGGTCAGAAAACTATGGCCTTCTGCCTGTTTTTGTACAGTACAAAGAATGGTTTTTATATTTTTAAATGGTTGGAAACACACACAAAAAAAGAATATGCAACAGAGAACATATGTAGCCTACAAATCCTGAAGTATTTACTGTTTCTACAGAAAAAGTGTGTCCATCCCTGATTTAGACAAAGAAAGTGATGGAGAAAAATGTTAATTCAATGTGATAATCTCAACACCAAGGCTGCAGTTTTAATATAACAAGAAATTAGATGGTGTTCAAAAACAAATATATCTTCCTCACCAATCCTGTTCCTCCTATCTGCTCCAATATGGTCTATCCTATTAAAGGGCGTCACTATGCATTTGTCAAACCTCATAGACCTGTACACCAAAGAGAGTAAATTTTACTTCATGTAAGTTTTAAAAAATGTATTTAAATCATATGTGGAACTTTTAAAATAAAGATGTCTGGGTCCAACTCCCTAGAGATTCTGATTCAGTTGATCCAGAATGAGACTAGGTTATCTGTGGATTTTATAAACACAACTGGTAATTTTAATTAGAAAAAAAAAAAACTAGGATGAGAACTCTGTTCCTAATCTCACTAATGTGCTCTGATTTTATCTCTACAGCTTTCCCACTTACGTCAATACTCTCCCTGTTCTTTCACCTCTATGAGGGCTCCAATTCCTCAAACTCATTACTTTTCATTCGATGCTGATCTTCACTCCTTCTCTATCTCAACTAATACTCTCACCTCTTTTGACTCTCTTATCCTCCCAACTGAAACTGCCTGGCAAGACCCCAACCACAGCTTAAGCCATTTTCATGCTTTTTCTGCTCTCTCCTTAAGCTGCTGGGGGGGAAGGGGGACTGATTACCTCATCTTCAACTTGGCTTCACTAGTAATGATCTCCAATCACAAGTACCTCAACATCATGAGAAAATCTTTCCATAGATTTCCCTTTCTCCCACTCCTCACCATTGCTATTGCAAACCTTCTCCGCCTTCCTCAAACATCATAGTCCACCTCTCTTCACTCATTTTTGATAGATCTCATTTCACCTCCTATATAACAGAGAAAATAAAGATTGTGAGCAGAGCGTTACTTGTTTCCTGCCGTTCACCTATAAATTTATGTGCATCTACACCCATTTTTCCTTTCTTATTTAAATTAATCCCTCCACCAAATGCTCTGGATCTCATTTCCTTTTACCACTGAAGGGACTACAGTCTTCCTGAACCCTATTCCTACTGTCTAGCCCCTCCTGCTTCACTGGGTCCTTTCTACAAGCTTGTAAATGTGTCCAAATCACTCAACTACAGGTCTCCTAATAGAAATGGTTCTTTTGGGTTATAAACTTTTAAAGAGCTGATGAAAGCTTCAAGGCTTCTCTCTCGACAAAATGTACATACCCACACAGTTTGCACATAATATTGGGGAAGGAGGGGGTTCATAAATCCCAGCTTAAGAACCCATACCCTATAATTTCCATTCTCCTTTCTCCTTTATACCCAAGCTTTTCAAAAAGCTATACACTGCCTCTCTCCAAATTCCCTCCTCAATTTATTGTAATCCTGCCTCCCAAACTCACAACTCCACTAAAACCATTCTTGCCAAGGTCTGTGACCCTGTTGCTAAATTCAGTAGACACTTTTCAGTCCTTATCTGCAGCATTTGATACTGCTAATAATTCCCTCCTTTTTGAAATTCCCTCTTTACTCAGTATCTGAAACCTTATACTCCTCTGTATCTTTTCTACCTCTCTGGACATTCTTTGTAAATATGTCATAGGCTCCTTTTCCCAGGCTAGTTGGAGTATCATCAGGGATCCATCTTTGATTGCCTCCTTATCCTACCTAACTGCATCTTTGGGTTTTCACTTCTTTTCTGTGAAGCTCCTGTGTGTATGAGTAATAAACCTTTTCTCCTGTTAATCTCACATTTGTTGGTTTAATTTACAGGCCCCAGTAACTGAACCTATAAGGATAGAGGAAAAGTTTTTTCTCCCCAACACTCAGCAAAGGTGACAGTAGCCACCAAGAACATTTATTAGCCATTCACAGGATATCTGTTATCACTAAATCAGACCTAAGTAACACATGTAGAACTAAAATGACAAATATAAATGCAGTCATCCCTGTATTAGGAAAAAACTCCCTCACACTTTTGGCTTAGTTATTGGCAGTTTAGTAGAAGTAGAGATAGTAAACTAGTAGACCAGAAATTGTCTTTAATTTCAAAAAGAAAAGGAAGAAAGAAACTACTACTAATTCCTGTTTCCTTTTTGCAGTTAACTATTAAGCTACAATTAGTTACTGGTTCTGATCAAGCAACTGAAAAGAAATAAAGGAATTTGTGGTGCTCTCTTAACATCTCCCTTTCTCAACTTCTTATATTTTTAAAAAATTATTAATATTTACCTTCCAAAAAGTAAATCTTATCTTCTACAAATATCCTTGACATATAGGTCTTTTCAAAGAGAGCTATGAGACCAAAGTCAGGAACTCTTAATGCTGTGACCAAAGACTGAAGTTCTCCATAAGATGTAATAGTTAGTTACTCAATAGTGCTATGTTTTCCTGAGAAGATACGAGATTTAGCTATGCATATCCATGAATGGTGATGTGGGAGAGTAAATAAATGTCTCCCAAGTTTAAAAAAAATCCTTGACATAAAAATTCTCAATTTAAGAAAAGCGTTCCATTCATATAAACTTTTGCTATATGAAATGACAGTATTATATTTAAATACTAAGTACATAAAGAGATTATCCTGTTAAATGTTGTCAAAGGCAAATGATTTATCAGAGACACATGACAAACTTGAAATATTTCACTGGATGATAAATTCTGACTACCTGAATAGGAAGTTTTAACCATGGTACTCTGACCACATTAGTAGAAAGATATTCTGAATTTCTGGAAACATTAAGCCAGGTTTTACTAACCACTGCTAAGGAATCAGGGAATAAGAAAAAATTCCCAGTTCATGTAATTGTGAATAACCAGAAATTACATGAGATTTTAAATACAAAAATAATAATACTAAATAATTTTATTAAAATACATTTCCTAAACTCACAAATCTATTTTACTTTAGAGGAATGAAAATAAAAAGAATTAGAACTACCCTAGACATTTTAACATAATCTTAGTTATAGAAAAATACTTAGAAAAAAATGACTGGTTGATCAGGCTATCCAGAGGGAATTTAAATTAAATCTTCAGCTTTTAGAAACCCTAAAAATAAAATTACAAAAACAGGAAGAGAGAAACAAAAACATTTCACTTTTTTTTTAAAAGGGAAACAACTGACAGCTTTAACCAACTTCTTTTTAAAAGACAACGATTAAACAAAATTTCACCCCAGCATCAGTGAGCTGCCACATTCAAATTCAGACTTCAACTACCTGGCATGCAGAATTGAATTACAGAACAATTTTGCTCATGCATGGACAAATACTATTTTTCCCCACTGAAACGATTTATCTGTAGCGTGCTCATTAGTAGCACTAACCCTTTCCTGTGTCCCAACAACCAACCTGCTTTGTGAGCTAAATCCCAATCCCAAATCAGTTGTTGTTGGCAAAACTAATCTCTGAATGAAAACAGTACAACAGCCAATCACAACACAGAACTTGGATCGTATGTTACACTGACGATGAGACAGAAAACTGTGCGGTTTCCAGCAGGTAGTTTTAGTTGAGCTTCTTGGCTCAGCAAAATGATCTTATCTTTGGAAACATATATATTTTCTTTATATTGCTAATTTTTTCTTTGAAAATGTGTTTCTAAAAGACTATCTCAACCAAAACAATAATTTCAACAATTAGGAGAAATAACATTAAATTAATTAAACACTAAAACATTCAGGTTGAAATAATGTGATTTTTCCCTCCTTCTGTGCCTTTCCCCAAGCTAGAAACAGAGTTCCTACAGATTTCAATTTATCTTGAGTGTCTTTTTTTGCCCACTCACATGATATAATTTAGGTAAACAGCAGTTTCTTCTGTTAAAGTTAACTGCTTTAAAGATTCAAAAAAAATGCTAATAATAATAATTTCCTCCTGATACCAATGAATTCATTATATTTTCAAGGAATTCTCCAGTTGGAGAATAAGATGATTAAGGCATGATAAGTTTTAGACATATTCCATTCAAATAAAAAGAATATTGTTTCTTAGCATTGCTCACAAACTCACAGATGGAATTAAAACAATTTTTAAACCTATCATTTTCACAGATTACTAATAATTAGTGAATGATAGCTACTGGTCTAAAATAAAATCTGGCTCACATATAACCTATCCATGTAACTTTGGACCATCCTCTTAAATTCTCTTGTCTACTTACCTATAAAATATTTGATTATATCTAAATAGTCCCTCCTACCTCTAATTTTTATTGGCCTTTATCACTGGCCACCTAAGATAGTTTCCTAGGCAGATTTCACTGGAATACCAGAAATTTCATTAAAACTTTACTGGTACCACGAGTCATGTTCCCATCTGGTAAGCTAAATGCAATTATGAAGATCGCCATGTATTTCTAGGTGTTCATAAAAATTAACCAGAACCCCAAAAAATCAGCATTAATGTTTTTTTAAAAATGAATAACGAAACTGAAGAAAATCAAAATTAGATGTGTGTGGTGGAGAGAGTAGCAAAACAGAAGAGAGAACACTTCTCAACTCACTGCATGAAGCCAGTATTACCCTGATACCAATACCAGAAAAAGACAACACAAGAGAAGAAAATTACAAACCAGTATCCCTTAGGAACACAGACACGAAAATCCTCAACAAAATACTAGCAAACCAACTCCAGCAACACATAAAAAGGATTATATACAAGTGAGATTTCTTCCAGGAATGCAAGGTTGGTTCAACAAACAAAAATCAATTGATCACAACAGATGCAGAAAAAAAACATCTGACAAAATCAAACACCCTTTCATGAAAAAAACACTCAACAAACCAGGAATTAAAGGGAATTTCATCAACCTGATAAAAGGCAACTAGAAAAATCCATAGCTATCATCATACTTAATGGTGAAAGACTGAATGCGTTCCCTTAAGGAATATTACAAGGATGTTTTCTATTGCCACTTCTACTCAACACTATATTGGAGGTTCCAGCCAGAGCAATTAGGGAATATAAATAAAAGGCATCCAGGTTAGAAAGAAGTAGGAGGGAAAAATAATAGCGTAGATGATAGAGGCTCTGTTCATCCCTTTGGTGACCAAATCGAAGTTGTGACGGAAACAAGGAGCAAACAGCAAGGTAAAATCACCTGGGATGAACAAGCCGTACAACTAGGGAGAGATCTAAGAAATCACCCTGCAACGGAAGAAGGTAAGACGGGAGGCTGCCCAGTCTCGAGTGGCTGAGTAGGACTGAGGCTGCAGCAGTGGCAACCCACAGCTGCAGATTCCTCTTAAAGGGGCCGTGCCCACAAGCGGACTTCCGTGGTGACTCTGAGCACCAGTGCCGATTTCGGTTGCATGCAGGAGGCACCAGGAACTTACAGGGAAACACTGAGTTGTCGAAGTGAGGGCTGAGGTGAGACTCACGCTGTACAGAAGCATCCACCAGCATCCATTCCTCTATTGAGTCCTCCCCTCTCCCAGTGTGCTGACACAGCGCTGCCATAGCTGAGAAGTCATCAAACTGGATAACAGAGGTCGCCGCGCCCAGAGGATTCCCTGAAACCTCGCCTCCCCCAACTTGCAGCCTCACTCAAGCTACATCCAGGTGTATCCTCGGCAAGTCAGATGCTCCTTGCTGAGCAGCGCTTAGCCTCACACTGGAGGCAGCTGGCCTCAGTTTCTGGTGTGGCCTTTTGAGGCAACTATAAGCACAGCATCTGTGGATTGCTTGCTGAATACTAACAGGTGGCCCCGGAGGGGCACAGGCTGGGGATAAATGTGGCCTGTAGCTGAACCCCTTTCAGGACTGTGCCACTGGATACCTACTATACAAATCCACACTAATAAGACCAGAAGACTTGGGCGCTTTGCTTAGTACATAGAAACAGACACGGAAAGGCAGCCAAAATGGGAAGACAAAGAAGCAGAAACCATATGAGAACAGAACAGAGATCAAGAAATACTGGAGTCAAGCAATCTAACAGATACAGAGTTCAAAACACTCGTTATAAAGATGCTCAATGAACTTTTGAGAAATGTAGATAAATTCAGTGAGAACTTTAACAAAGAGATAAAAAACATAAAAATTGAAATAGAAATTATAAAAGGGAACCAGTCTAAAATGAAGATTATCTGAGATGAAGAATATATTAAACGGAATAAGCAAAGAAATAAACGACGTGTATAAAGAAGAGGATCAAATGACCTATATAGAGGACAGAAAAGCCAAGGACATTCAATCATAATGGCAAGAAAAATGAAGCCAAGACTATAAAAATAATTTAAGAAGCCTATGAGACACTATTAAAGATCAAAATAACCATCTATCTCGTCGGCATACCTGAAGGAAGAAAACAAGATGTTGAACAGCTATTTGAAGAAATAATGATGGAAAACTTCCCTAACCTGGTGAAGGAAATAGACATACAACCCCAGGAAACTCGGAGAATCCCAAAAACCAGGAATCCAAAGAGGCCCACACCAAGATACATCATAATTAAAATGCCAAAGGTTATACACAAAGAGAGAATCTTAAAAGCAGCAAGAGAAAAGCAGATAGTTACCAACAAAGGAGCACCCATAAAACTGGCAGCTGATTTCTCAAAAGAAACTGCAGGACAGAAGGGCTTGGCAAAAAATATTCAACATGATGAAGACCCAGGATCTACAACCAAGAATACTTTATACAGCAAAGCTATCATTTAGAGTTCAAGGACAGATAAAGAGCTTCCCAGACAAAAATAAGCTAAAGGAATTTATCATCACCAAGCCAGTATTGTAGGAAATGTTGGAGGGACTTCTTTAAGAAGGAAAAACATATATCTAAAACAGGAATAAAGAATGGTAAAACTACATTCCTATGAATAAGTACCTCAAATGGAAAAGAATTAAGTGCTCTGACTAAAAGACAGAGGATGAAAAGATAAGAAAACAAGACTCCTACATGCTGCCTACAAGAGACTCACTTCAGATTAAAAAACACACAAGACTAAAAGGAAAGGACCCCCCCAGCTCTATGACTTCCTGGAGAGCCACTACCTAGATGAGGAGGTGAAACTCATCAAGAAGATGGGCGACCACCTGACTAACCTCCGCTGGCTGGCCGGCCCCCAGGCTGGGCTGGGTGAGTATCTCTTCAAAAGGCTCACCCTCAAGCATGACTAAGAGTCTTTGGAGCCCAGAAGCTTTTGAGGGGTCCCTCTGCATCCCCCTGGTGTTGGCCTTGTGCCTGAGCCTCTCCCTGCACCTAACAGGCAGCCTTCCAACCATCCTGGAGCCTTCTCCCATGCCTTGGACCAAACTGAAACAATAAAGCTATAAAATGAATGAATGAATGAATGAATGAATGAATAAATAAATAAATAATAAATGGAAGGGGATGGAAAAAGATATTGTCTTGATGGACCTAGAAGGTATTTAAGTCAGACAGAGATAGATAAATACTATAT